GTGCTTTCAATGGAAGGACAGGCGGTGGTTTTTGTTTTTCCCTTCTCAAACAGGGAGCTTATTATACCCAGCCAGTGTACGCGGCACAGCCTCACGTTATCCATCACACCACCGTGGTTCAGCCCAACAGCATCCCATCGGCCATCTATCCGGCCCCGGTTGCTGCGCCCAGGACCAATGGTGTGGCCATGGGGATGGTCGCTGGGACCACCATGGCAATGTCAGCAGGTAAGAAGGAAAACGTTTCCGTGTTCCGAGCTGTAGTTGCATCTCTCGGGTGGGACGTGGCCAAACAACCTGTGCAGGAGACTTGTCCTGAATGAAAAACTCTCTGTGCATCCAATGTGCAGCCCGCAGCCTTGCAGGGGTAGCTGGCAAGTGGGTGCAGAACCACCTGGCACGCAGCTAATAAGGGCTTCGTCTGCTAGTTTTGTGTGCTGGTTACTGCTCCTTTGCAGGGAAAAATCAATGAATTTGCTCCTGATGATACTGATCTAACTCCGGTTTTAGGTTAGCAAAGGAGACCTTTTGTTTGGCTCACTCTATAGGGATGCACTCTTGGATCCTTATATATATTATTTTTGACTCTGTTCCGTAAGTAGAGGAATAACCAGGTTTGTCCACCTTCAAATACTGTTGTATTTCTATCCTCACGTTCCTTTTTTAGGACACTTACGGTCTTGCTTTCGTTTGACGAAATGACCATTAACCTTGGCTTATGTATCCCAAATCCTCTGCATTTTATGTGCAGGATTGCTTCAAACTGCAATTAGTTGACAGCACTTTAAGTAAGGATGTGGGCTGGTTTTATTTCTTCCAAAGCCGGTATTGCTCTCATTAACAGTTCTTAGGATTGTACATTGAATTATGCCACGAAATGCATCAGTCATCCGTTTGCATCCGCGTTAGCTGTGAAAGAGGGCTCCGTCACGGGACACAATCCCTATTGCGAGCAGAGATGTTGCAGCCTGGGTACGACCAGACCTGCTCTGAGAGATTGCCTGTTGCTTATACTGAGAGGTGGATAGATATAATTAATGCACGTGGGATGTCTTCAAGTGTCATTAGTAGCATTTGCAGAGAGATACCCAGAAACCGAGAAGTTGTTTCGGGTACCCAGTTACTCCCAGAACAGAGTAGTTTGGGGCTGTGATCTCCTTCCCCACGTCTGCTGAAGGCACCGTGCAAATTCTCACCTAAAACCCCGCTGCGTATCGCCTGCAGACTGAGAGGGAAGGGGCTGCCCCGGGCAGTCCCTCTGCTTCGCGGCTGGGAGAGGATCCCTCCTTCTCCTGCATCCCAAGGCTCTCGGCTCTGTGGGTTTAAATGAAGCAAAAGAGCCCCGCTGCCCTTGGAAGATGAGTGGCAAAGCTCATCTTAATTTTCCCTGGAAGACCTAGGGGTTTGGTTTTTTTCTCATCTCCTTTTGCAACCCTCATCCCTTCCAGTTCGGTCCTTAGGTGTTTCAGATCGCTGCAGTGATCGGCTGTTGCAATTTAGCCCAGTGCCTTCAGCAGGCGGACGATGTCAGCAGGTTCGTGGCTGGCTCTGCTGCTGGTCTTTAGGGAGAAGGAAAATTGGAAGAAGATGAGTTAGGGGCTGAAAGTAGCATGGAAAACATGCTGGAGCTTCAGGTGGGTTTATTCCATTCGTGGTGCTGGCTGATACCAACCGCGTGAGTCAGACGCCTTCAAATCAGGTCTCACGGGCAGAATAGTATTTGGGAGAACTGAAGAAGAAAAAAAAGGCAGCTGATGCTGTGCCTGCCCCTTGGATACGGTCTGCAGCGCCGTACTCTCGGGGTACCGCTCCTCTGACGGAGCTCTGCTCCTTGCTAATTATTTCTCCGTGCCGTTGCAGGAACCTTGTTGACCACCCCCCAACACACCGCCATCGGAGCACATCCAGTTTCCGTGCCAACGTACAGGGCTCAAGGAACCCCCACCTACAGCTACGTACCTCCACACTGGTAAACCCACTGGCCAATTCATGTAAGTGCTGCCGTTGCTGGTCTTGCTCTGCCCTTGTCGATTAATGAGCCACCGAGCACTGCCATCGCTGCTCTCCTTCCTACAAAGCTGCTGAATCCCTTGGTCCGGGTGATGCTTTGACTCCAGAAGAGCCATTTCGCACTGCTCCCCGGCAGGGATAGCTGCACCGCTCGCTCTCCTGGGGCTGCCGAGGGTGTTGGCAGAGCACAGCAGACCTTGTCTGCACATCTTGCTGCTCGGTGCATGCAAGGCTTTATCAGAGACCTCGGTGGCATCAAACTGCTCTGAGTGCAGTTGGGCACTGTGAGGGTAGAAATGTTCATGCTTTAAGGTTTTGGATGCATTACACTCATAGAATCACAGAAGGGTTTGGGTTGGAAGGGACCTTAAAGCCCACCCAGTTCCAACCCCCTGCCATGGGCAGGGACACCTCCCACCAGACCAGGTTGCTCACAGCCCCATCCAACCTGGCCTTCAACACTTCCAGGGATGGGGCAGCCACAGCTTCTCTGGGCAACCTCTGCCGCTGCCTCACCACCCTCACTGGGAAGGATTTCTTCCTGATATCTCATCTAAATCTTCCCTCTTCCAGTTTAAAACTGTTACCCCTCGTCCTGTCGCTCCACTCCCTGATAAAGAGCCCCTCCCCACCTTTCACATCACTTGAATATCTTATTTTCCCCTGCTAAAACGTGCTGGGAGATCGTCCTATTCATTAGCACCGGGGTTGCGTGCAGCTGCCTACAACCAGCTGCAGGTTCCTGTCGTGCTCAGGATCCCAGAAATCCCAGCTGCTCATTTAAACACCCTCCGCGCGTTGCTGGAGCCCGCGGTCCATCATGCCCAATTAACGGGCAACGCAGCTGATGGGAACACGCAGCGTTAGATCTCATCCAGCCCAGGGGGTTATCTGAAATCTCTCCTTGCTGCATACATTACGCTGGGCTAATCCTGCCTATGACAAATTGTTGGGCAATTAGCAGAGTGCATCCCATCCGCATATTTTTAATCCTGTGCATCGGGTACTGCCAGCGAGCTGCTGCGTTCTCAGCTCCGTGCCCAAGAAATTGCCCGCAGAGCAGCGCGAGGGATGGTTAAATCCCGTAGGCATCAGCTCTGCCTGCTGCACGTGGTGCAGGGGTGCCGAGGAGAGAACAGCCTTGTCTGATCCGGCACCGCTTGCTTCTAACTCCTTGTTTTTAATCTGTTTGCTCTCTTCCAGATCCGGAGTCAAACATTGTATGCAACTACACAAGTCTTACATCGGTGCTGTGGCCGCTGTACTGCAGCACCTCGTCTGTTTGCAAGAACAAAAGAAAAAAAAAAAAAAGTGCAAGGGTCACTTTATGCATTCTTTAGTGGTTTTTGTAAAAGCTGCTTTTTCTAATCTTCTGCCTCTTTTTTTTTTTTTCCCCTCTCCCCCTTCCTCCTCCCACCCCCCCATCAATTGTGTAACACACGTACTGACACTGAGCAATAGTAAAGTTCTCTCTTTGGTCCTATCATTTGAAAGCTCAGAATATTCACTTTTCCAGCATTGCCCAGCTGAGTGGTGCAAAGATCCCCCACTTCTTGTTCGTTTGGGTTCTTTTCGTTATTTTTCTGTTGTCGTTGTTGTTGACGAGAGCCTAGATTTTGTTTGGCTAGTGAGAGTGGTTGATGTTCAGGGTACTATGTGAAAAGCACAGCGCTGGTAGGCAGGCTTATTCCGATTTGGTTTGGGTATTTTTAGTTGAATAATATAAATTATTTAATCTTCCATAACATATTACAAGAAAATTGGTGTCTTCCAGATAGCTGTCGTGATAGATTATAAATGCATTATCTGCAGTGAAATTCTGAACTCATCCCTTCTTTTGTAGGAGTAAGAGAATATAAATATAATTAGCGACGTAACACACTTGTCTTAGGAAGTAGGAGGACTGGTCACCATCGGGTCTTTGGTCTGCATTTTCCAACTGGGCAAATGGATCTGGCGTGATGGGAAGAGAGACGCGGAGAGACGCGTGCCCTGGTAGTGTCGTGCACCTCTTGGGAAAATGAGATGCTCCCCATCAGCCACGTCCTGGGGCTGCGTGAGGGAGAAGGCAGCTCCTTCCTTGCGTGGCTACCGTTTGCAGGCAGGGATGTGCCGGGCGGCCGTTGAAGGAAGCAAGGAGATGTCCAAGGGTTGGTCTGAAGAGCTTCTCCAGGTTCAGGGCTTGGTCTGAAGAGCTTCTCCAGGTCCAAGGGTTGGTCTGAAGAGCTTCTCCAGAGTCTGGTGGTGTGTGGAAAGAAAGAGGCTGGTTGATGGAGAAGAGTCTTTGAGGCAGGGCAAGGGGGAAGATGGGTGGCTTCACCTTGCACCCTTGTCATTGGCAGGACTGACACCAAACTGCTACACCAAACTGCGACGGCTCTGTGGCAATCGAGGTGCCCCCCTCCCTTCTTTGGGATACAGCTGGGCTCGGAGACTTCCAGGAGAAATGTTCACCCAAGCACAAATCCCGGCACCACAGAGAAAGGCCGGAGAGGGGGACGATGTCCGGCTGCTCTGCTTGGCGAGTAGGGAGAAGTGGGGGGAAGAGGAAGCAATAGCAATAAACATGTCGCCTTCCTCACGGGAAGGCACCTGAGAAAAAGCGAGAGCAAGGAAGGTGATCCACAGTTGACGTGGGCCGTGCTGGGAGACAACGGACATGCAGAGGCTGTGGGCATCGGGGTCATTTCTGGGGCTTTTGGCTCACCCAGGGGCGCGAGGAGGTGAAGCCGATGGCAGCCGGTGACATCCCACCTCAGGGTGTCCAAGTAGAGCAATAAGTTGTCTCGAGGGCAGCAGCAGGAGAGTTTGTATTTGCAGACAGTGCTTGTGGCCAGTTTATTTTTAAATCCTTATCCCTAAACCCAGCATAGAAACAAGGGGTTTCTTCTCTTTTTTTTTTTTCCTAAGACAAAAACATCGTTGGGTTTTGATTTTTCCCTCAAGTGTGCCAAAAGAGTTACATTCACCCGGCAACGTGCTTGCAGCTCTCACATCTCTTGGGCTCCGAGGTTGTCACAACGGACTAAAGCCAGAGCCTTTAAAGATGTCAAGTTAGGAGATGTGGATGGGAGTCCCTCCTGGCACTACCGACCCATGTGTGGTGCTGAGTCAGTGCCCAGATGTCTCTCTTGGTTGCTCTTTGCTTTGGTCATGCCTGGATCACATCTCCAGATGGAGGTGAGGGCAGTGGTGACCAACACTGGAGGGTCACCTTGACCGGGACATGGTGGTGTAGGGGTCAGACTGGAGGGTCTTTCAGAAGAGCAAGGTGACCAGTTGTTGGCACTTGGGTGAGACCTCCTTGCCCTTGGTGGTGTCTCCCAGCTTGGCTTCTGCTGCTGTTGGGAGGAGCTACTGGAGCTCCTTCCCATGAGCATGGTCCAAATGGGGAGAAACAAGCTTAGGGACCCAAGAGGACTGGTTGGTCTCGGGTGGTTTGTCAGGTTGGGTGTTGACGCCAGCACTTCTGTGTGGGGGTTGTTTTTGGTTAGTTCCGCTGGTTTTAAAGGAAATCTAGCAAAGCTCTGGTTGACCTTCCCAACCTCAAGGGCAACAAAGTGGCTGAAGGCTGAATGCCGGTGCTGCGGGGTGGGGAAGGTGGATTTCTCCCGTGTAGTACTTTGGGTTGCACTTTGGGTTCATAGAAAAGGAAAAAAGAAAAAAAAAAAAAGAAAAAAAGAGTAAATAATCAGAGAGTTGCTTGGCAAAGCCAAGGGTTAGCATGTAAAGAGCAACGGGACATTTGGAACTAACAATCCTACACTGTCCTTCCACTCTTTGTAGCACCCTACAGTTAAACCTGGGCCAAAAAAAACCAACCCAGTAGATCACAAGAATTGAAGACCTGTCAAATACCCTTTTTTTGCTCTCACTGTTGACTTCATGTTGTGTGTTAGGCGCTGTCTATCAGCATTGAAACACGTAGGATAGAGTAAGCTCTACCCAACGTACCGGCATGACGACTTGCAGGGTCCAGCGAGCTTTGTTGTCACAGCCCGGGCTCTGCGGAGGAGGACCTGTCCCCGCAGACACCGTCCTACCACTGACCGAGGCACCCTTTGCCCTTAACTGCTAAAATTTTGGCCCACGGCTAGGAAGGAGATGCTAGGCCTTCTCCTGAAAGGAAAACCAACACTAAAGGTGGGGTAGAAATCTCCAGGAGCTGAGAGCGTGGAGGATCACCCAGATCTAATGAGATCTAATGGGATCAACCCACCACTAATGAGATCTGACGTGGGGTGGTTTAGTTTTAATTCCTTCGCTTGGCTCAATAGCAGATCTAACGCTCCTCATCCCGTTATGCCCAGGCAGAAATGCTCATTAACCCAACCAGAGTGTGAAGGGGTGAAATATTTGCCGTCCGTTGGGCGAGAGGCTTTGGTGAGCACATTTGGCAACCGGCGTTGGGTTTAGGCTTGGAGCCCTGCACGGCTCCAGCAATACCGCGTGGCTCTGGGGCCACCACATGGCTCCAGGCTTGGGTAGCTCCTTCCCAAGGTGGCTTCACGGGGCCGTGGTGGTGGGGAGATGCTCCTTGTCACCGTGTGGGGATGTGGGGCTTGATACCCCCGCCTTGGCTCACGCCCTGTCCCCTTCCCCCTGGAGGGACGTGGGGTTTTGGGTAGATGGGAGGAAAGCCCATGATCCCAAGCCCTTTCCTTGGCCAAGTCATGGCTTAAGTGAAGGACCTGGGGAGGTTACAGCCCGGTGGGGGACTCCCTTGGTGGGGGGGACACACTGATGGGGGCCACCAGCTTCTCCAATAGTTCACTCCAGCGAAGCTTTGCCGACGTCGGTTAAGGAGAAGGGTTTCCCATGGTGAAGGATCACACCGGGCGTCAGCCGGGAAGAGCAGGAGGGGTTAAA